ACTACTATAGTAATTAATTTTTTGTGGTGATTCTATTGTTGCTATGGCAACACAACTAAATATTTTAATTAACCTCTACTACTGTTTTTTATAACAGTTTTCCCAAACATCTGTCAAGAAAACATAAAATAACATGACGGAGTTTGTTTTTATTGGAATTTAAATATTTAATCCTCTCAAACACATGGGATGCAAATGCAACATAAACTAAAAGCACATGAACTAAATTTGCAACTTTTGCACGGAAACATCGCTAGTAATAACAATGCTGCGTCTATAATGTGGTGTCCATTACGGGATCTCATTTGCAATTCATAGAGAGGCCATTAAAACAGCATTTAAATTCATACCCTTCAATACAAAGCCAAGCCGTGACTTCGGCAAGGCTGTTTGCTTTTTTAACATGCATATGTTTAAACACCAAAATCGTAATTGCGCAGCTAATCATAGAGACGTTTGTGAGCATTCCTGTCCCGATAATACAAAAATCAGACATGCCATATAGCCATTCATCAGCTTGTCCCGAGAAGAGATTTTTTGAGGCTGTTAATTATTAATGCTCTGTCAATACCAGTAGAGCATCTACTTCACAAGGACAGACACTCATTGTGGAGTGTAATATCTAACTTAAACGAACAAATAATAAAAACAGCCAGATCTGGATATGCTACGTGCTTTTTAAACAAAGGAAAACATGATTTATGCTGCAAGAGCCTGTCAATTAATAGAAATATAGTTAATAATTCGCCCTCCTGTTAAACGCATGCGCTGTAGGTGAGCTGATTAACTAGATTTGCCGTAGTGTATGAGTGTGTGTGAATGAGTGTCTATGGGTGTTTCCCAGTAGTACTGGGTTACAGATGGAATGGCATCCGCTGTGTAAAACATATGCTGGAATAGTTGGTGATTCATTCCACTGTGGTGACCCCTGATGAACAAAGGGACCAATTTAGATTAATTAATCAATTAATTCCCCTATAGTGCATGTGTTTGGACTGTGGGGGAAACCGGAGCTCCCGTAGGAAACCCACACCAACACAGGGAGAACATGCAAACTCCACACTGAAACTGACTCAGCCAAGGTTTAAACCAGCGACCGTCTTACTGTGAGGCAAAAAAAATAATTTATTTGGGAAAAAACAAATCCAATGATTGGGTTTGTCTATTTCTGACCCATCGCCAGGCTGTTTTAATTCAGCTTTGGGTCAATTATGGACAAAATGGGTCATTTTTTCAATCGATTTCTTCAAAGCTGGATTAAAAAAAACCTGGTGTTGGGTCAAACATGGACATGCATCCATTTATTGTTTTTTTATTTTTTTATTAATTAAGTGATATTATAATTCATTTGAAAAAAAAACATCCAATGATTGGGTTTGCCCATTTTGACCCAACACCAGGTTGAATTAATCCAGCTTTGGGTTAATTATGGACAAACTGCATTCAACTGAATTATAATAGCACAATGATTGGGTTTGTCAAAGTCCAAGTGATCATTTCTGGGTTGTTTTAATCTAATTTTGGGTCAACAAACTCAACTGCTGGAGTCATTTTTTTAAATCTGAACTGAACTGACATTTTTAAGAGTCAATATTTAACTCAACATTGGGTTAAAACAACCTAGCATTTTTTTAAAAGTCCTAAAAAGGCTTAGTCCCTTTATTAATCAGGGATCGCCACAGTGGAATGAACCGCCAACTATTTCAGCATATGTTTTACACAGCGGATGCCCTTCCAGCTGCAACCCAGCACTGGGAAACATCCATACATGCTCATTCACACACACTCATACACTACGGCCAGTGTAGCTGATCAGTTCCCCTATAGCGCATGTGTTTGGACTGTGGGGGAAACCGGAGCACCCGGAGGAAACCCACGCCAACACGGAAAGAACATGCAAACTCCACACAGAAACCCAGTCAGGACTTGAACCAGCAACCTTCTTGCTGTGAGGCCACAGTGCTAACCACTAAGCCACCATGCTGCTCTGTATAATATAAGTAGAAGTGTATTTCCCCAGTAGATGGAGTGACGTGTTTCTCCTGAAATTACAGATCCTCAACAACAGCAGACTCAATTCCCCATCCACCGTATTTTGTATAGTTCTAATGAAGTGGACGCATTTCCAACGCAGCTCTGCGGTTTCTCACACAGAAACATTCAGCACACATAAGTGTTCTCGATATTAAGAAACATCTGGCAACCGCTCCGGAAATGATTAACACTGCCAACTTATATCCAGAGCCACTTCAGTGGATTGCAATAACCAGATGGCATTATTTCTGTCACCCAAACCCTTATGCATATTGTGACGTGACCTAGTGTTATATTGACAGCACGCCTTGTCAAATAATACGCTTATGTTCATCAGAAACAATCTTTTGGGAGGCGGATGCACTGGTGGAATTTGCACTTTAGCACAGAAGCATATAAGCTCTGATTTATTTGTGCAAGAGACACTATATGATGCGTATTATTATGAAAGCGTGCATGTGCTATGTGTCTGAAGAGAAATGCTGCAATGCATACAAAAACAAGCAAATATGTGGCTTTGTATTATATTTTTGGCTACAAGTTGCACATTAAATATTACTGTAGAAGTATTATGATGTCCCGCTGTCCCCGAACTAGAGCTCCCAGCATGCAATGCTTGAATAAATGATGTCGTCAAAGGAGAAATGTGAACATCTTCATTATTATTGTTAAAATATAATATGGCATTTTTAAAATATTAATGCAAGAATATTCAAAAAGAAAACTCTTATTATTTACTCCAACTTTAAAACTATAGTTTCCTGCATCAAAATATACACTCACCGGCCACTTTATTAGGTACACCTGTCCAACTGCTTGTTAATGCACATTTCTAATCAGCCAATCACATGGCAGCAGCTCACTGCATTCAAGCATGTAGACACGGTCTAGACGATCTGCTGCAGTTCAAAGCGAGCATCAGAATGGGGAAGAAAGGGGATTTAAGAGACTTTGAACGTGGCATGGTTGTTGCTGCCAGACGGGCTGCTCTGAGTATTTCAGAAACTGCTGATCTACTGGGATTTTCACGCACAACCATCTCTAGGGTTTACAGAGAATGCTCCGACAAAGAGGAAATATCCAGTGAGCGGCAGTTCTGTGGGCGCAAATGCCTTGTTGATGAGGCCAGAGGTCAGAGGAGAATGGCCAGACTGGTTCCAGCTGATAGAAAGGCAACAGTAACTCAAATAAGCACTCGCTACAACCGAGCTCTGCAGAAGAGCATCTCTGAACACACAACACGACCCTTAATACAAGTTTTCAGTGTTGGGTGTGATGCATTACAAGTAACGCGACTTAATGTGACTTTTCTAAGTATAACAAGTAAAGTAATACACTACTGTTATTAATTAAGTAATAATATTTTAGTTACTTTTTTAAAAACGTAAAGCAAGTTTTAGTTGAATTAATTAGCTTTTTAAAAGTAAGTTGATGAATCAAACTGAATGAACGTCATCACGTTCAATCCCGCACAGCATGAGGGAATGCAGGAACAGACACAATTCTGCAATGCTGAAGTATTCTCATTCTACACACATGAAGAATAGGAAAAGGGGATTATAGTCTCAATGCACAGTGATTTTACTTCACTAATAAGACAAAAAGTAGCAAACACATTGCTTTAAACTTTCATTAATCTGTATAAAGCACATAGGGCTGTGGGGTTCTCAGAAGATAACTTTACACATTATTTTATGTGTTTTTAAAGGTATGAAGGTTATACAGTGTGTTGTTAATTGCAGAGCTCCTCAACTAAAAAATAAGAAGAAAAAAAACTGCAAGTTCAAAAGGAGAACATTACTCTCCCCAATAATGGATTATATTAAAAGTCTTAGAGCTTACATTGACAACAGCACCAAAAGCATGCAAAGTGTAACTCACCTGTACCAGTCGAGTCCATATAGTGCAACTTGATTGCATGTAGTTTTATTTAAGATTTTTAATTAATGCAAAGCTTATTTAATCAGCTTTTCAGAAGGTGTCTAAAAAAAAACCCCTTAAAGACTGGTCAAGCGTCTCATAATAATAAAGCTCCTAACTTACATTGACAACAGCACCAAAAGCATGCATTATGATCCAGATTTCCATATCCACTGTGTAACTCACCTTGAGTCCACATGAACAGTGTCACTTGTTTGCATTTGTTTTTATTATTAATATTATTATTATTATTATTATTAATAATCCAAAGCATCTTTATTTAGTTGTCAGATGTTTCCTAAAAATACCCTTATGACTGGTTTTGTGGTCCAGCGTCACATGATATTAAAGTTCTGCTCACTGCATGGTGACAGGCAAACCCTGACAACAGCAACTCATTTAGATATAAAGTGTGTCATTTACCGGTTATCATGACGATGTTTTGTAAATGTCCTACTCTCAGTATATCAAAACGTATGTTTTTAGTAGCAACGTACATTGCTTAGAATGTAATTTGGACAGTTTTAAAGGCGACTATCTGAATATTTCGATTAAAATTTAGGATTTTTTATTTTTTGCTCCCTCAGATTCCAGATTTAAAAGGGTTTTACATCAGCCAAATACTGCCCAATGCTATTAAACTGTACATTAATGCAAAGCTTAATTTATTCAGCTTTCAGATTATGTATTTCCAAAATTGACACTCATGATTGGTTTTGTGCACTGAAAATTTTGATTAATTGGATTTACCAACTTTTTTAAGCTTAAGTGGTTGCAAACAATTTATATAGGCTGAATTTAATAAGAAATTTAAACAAGCACAAATGTATTAATGTTTAACTTAATTTGTTTATTTAATTCAGCCCATATACATTGTTTGCAACCACTTAGGCTTCCTTAAAAAAATTACAAATCCAATAAAAACTATTTTTTCAGTGTGGTCCAATAGTAAAGTTCGGCTCACTGCATGATGACCAGCTTACATTGACAACAGCACCAACAACACGCATTATAAACCACTTTTCCATATGCAGTGTGTATCTCACCTGTACCATCCGAGTCCGCGTGAATAATGCCGGTCAAAGAAGTGCGGTTCCGCCCCGAGCGCGCGGATGTCCGGATGGAGCCGCAGAAACTCGAGCAGCGCCCGCGTGCCTCCCTTCTTCACCCCGATGATCAGCGCGTGTGGAAGCCGCCGGAGAGCCATCCACTCTCGGCCTGAACTATTGCCATCCACACCCCTCTCCAGCCCTCTCAATGCACTCCTACTATTATTATTATTATCATACCATCCCAAAGAGAGCTTCTGGGAGTTTTCGGAGGAGTCGCAGCATCCCAGCAGAAGGTAGAGGATGGAGATGCAGGTGATGCTGAAGGAAAACATTATCAGTAGTTTATGTGTATCCAAAGGCGCGATGATGAGAGTTGCCATCCCGTTGAGGACTCTCTGTGATCGGCCATTCTCTTCAGGACTTTATCCGCGTCACTTTGAGCTGTTTTGCGGCATTAAACCCGCTTCATGTGGGCTATATTTCCATTGTGAGATGCTGACTCGAGTATCCATATCTGCTGTGGAGTGTAGAAAAGAGCGCTGGTGGTGATCTGTGTGTCAGTCAGTGTGTGTGTGTGTCCCAGGAGGATTTTCTTGACTTGTCGTTTAGGAAAGTGCGCGGACGGATTTGATTGGCGGATGACGGATGAAGGCGGCTTTAATGCTCCAGATGAGCCGGAGGTGTGAAATATGACATGCCTTATTGTTTCACCACTGGGTGTATTCATATTTATTGCTATAGTAGCCTATTTTTTCACCTCATTAAACAATACTAAAATAAATAAATAACATATACACTAAAGTACATAAATTATACTGGGGTACATTCATTTTTATTGTTACACTTATAATAATAAAATATAAATAGTAATCTATGTTTGTTCACCATTAATAAACAAACATTAAAAAAAGGAAATGACAAACTATACAGAAAATAAAACTATGCTGCTGTACATTCATATTTATTGCTACATTCATTATTATAGTAATAATAAATATGCAATATAAATATGTTTGTTCAGCTCATTAAACTATAATAAATTAATTAATAAATATACTATAGAATATGAAGTTATACTGGAGTGCATCGATATTTATTGATACACTTATAATAATATAATATAAACAGTAGCCTATGTTTGTATACCTAATTAAACTATTTTTTTAAATCAAAATTTCCAATTTTAAGTAGTAAAATTGGGGAACATTGTCCAATTTTATTTATTTATTTGTTTGTTTATTTATTTATTTTACTGTTTTTTTATTCACATTTAAAATGCTGTTTTAATGGCATTAAGATAAAATTTCCAAGCAGTAAATTACTGTATTTTGATTCAGGGTGAACTAAAAATGCTGTTTTAATGGTGCATAGAGAATATTTCCGAACAGTAAATTACTGTATTTCATATGACTAATCAAACTGATTGATTTTTGCTGTGTTTGTTAGTCAAAATGCTGTTTTAATGGTGTCAAGAGAATAATTCTAAACAGTAAATTACTGTATTTTCTATGACTAACAAAGTTATGTTCACTGTATTTTGATTTACAGCAAAGAAAAATGCTGTATTAATGGTGCAAAGAGAATATTTCCAAATGGTAAATTACTGTATTTACAGTGACTAACAGTTATGTTTACTGTATTTTGGTTTACAATGAATTAAAAATGCAGTTTTAATGATGGCAAGACAATATTTCACCACAACTTTAAAATACAGTAACTTACTGCATAACTGTCATACACTAAAATACAATTCATATGTATTTACAATATGTATTTTAATAATACTATTCAACAGTAAAATTTAATTTCTTCATTTATTTCTGTTAAATTAAAAAAAATTTATTTAGAGTGAATTACAATACTGTTTTAATGGTGCCAAGATAATATTTCCAAATATTAAATTTCTGTACTTCCTATGACTAACCAAATTTAAATGTTTACTGTATTTTGATTCACAGCAAATTAAAAAAATAATATTTTAATAGCACCATGAAAATATTTCTCACAACTTTAAAATACAGCATCATACTGCATGACTGTCATACAGTAAAACACAGTTCATATTACAGTTAAATACAGTGTAATTTACAAAAAAACGTTAACAGTGTTCAACATTTTCCCAGTCTATCCTCATGTTTGACCCTAGATCAGTGGTTTGTAGGTGTCTGAAGATGTACAGCAGGGTGTTCTTGATCTCATAATTGGTTTGGCCTGTAGTCTGGTTATCAGATCAGTACAGTAAACCTACAGGATCATGGAGATTAGTACCGTAGTAGAGCATCACGAATGGGCAGATCAGTTTTTACTGTTCTGATGGCTAGAGGATTGAAAGTGTGATTTTTCTGACCTACAAAAGCAGTTTCCAGTATTGCTGCATCTTATAAACAGGTTTACCGCTCTGATATTTACCGCATTATGCCTTAATGATCTCAATACATCAGGGTAAATGCCATTTTGTGGTGAGTTATTCCTCCTTAAATGCAGATGTACTCGGGGTGATTAGTAATAAAAATATACAATAAAGGAATAAAAAAAAAAACTAAATGTAAAAAAATGTAAATAATATAAAATACAAGTTGATAAGTGAACATAAAATTGCATATAAATATGTAATCACATCCAAAAAAAAGTTTATTTTACCATAATATATGTGTGTGCTGTGTGTATTTATTAGGCATAAATACACTTATGCATATTTGAGAAAATGTTTATTTATATTTAGGTATAAAATATATATGTACATGATACAAATCATATCTAAATTGATATATCTATGCAGCAACACTTTCATATAATTTTGTTTCTGTTTATGTGTGTATATCGCATATAAATTATTTATTTATATATATATATATATATATATATATATATATATATATATATATATATATGTGTGTGTGTGTGTGTGTGTGTGTGTGTGTGTGTGTGTATATATATATATATATGTGTGTGTGTGTGTGTGTGTGTGTGTGTGTGTGTGTGTGTGTGTGTGTGTGTGTATATATATATATATATGTCAAAACAAACTTTTATCTTGGATACGATTAATCGCAATGAATCTTTGCCCAGCATTAATATATTTGTGCGTGTATTTATGTTTGTGTGTAATTAAATATTAGAAGAACTAAATGCAGAAAATTGTAAATATATTATACATGAAAATACAAGCCAATATGATAAACAAATTAATATAAAATCTTATTTAAAAACCTAAATGTGTGCAAAATCAGTTTAATATTAGCATCAGGAATGAGCGGATCAGTTTTATGGGATTTCAGTGTTGCAGCATCATATAAACACAGCTAGGTTTACCGCTCTGATATTCACCATATTATGCTTTGATGATCTCTTTGCATCCGGGTAAATGCATTACTTGTCAATTCTGTGGTGATTTGTCTGCTTTTTGTTGTGATTTATTTCCCTGGTCCTCAAGAGCAAATGTCTTTGAGGTCAAAGGTTAAACGCGTCTCTCTGTAAATGAGCCGCACTTCTTCATTCGCCACAGTTTGCAGCTCTTTTTCCTTTAAATCTTAACTAATGCAATGATGTTAATGTATGATAGAGTATAACAGTAGTACAATACACACATACAAAATAATAATAATATCAATCGCATTTGTTTGAGATCTTTTCATCATCTTGTGCACAAAATCAGCATCATATTTACACAGTAATGAGGTTGCAGGATGACCAATGGGGTGAGCAAAATAATCTTGTTTTTCGATTTGTGATAGGATTATTTTGCTCACCCCATTGGCAGATTATTTTGCTTGATTTGAGGAAAAACTCACTTCATTTTGGCATATTATTTCTTAAAACAAGCCAATATGTTTTGCTTGTCTAGAAAATGCTTCTTGATTTTAGAACATTTAGATACTTCAACTGTATGTATGTATAATAAATTACAGAATTTAAAAGTCTACAGAACAAACCATCATTATACAATGACTTGCCTAATTAACCTCACCTGCCTCGTTACCCTGATTACCCTAGTGAAGCCTTTAAATGTCACTTTAAGCTGTATAGAAGTGTCTTGAAGAATATCTAGTCTAATATTATTTACTGTCATCATGACAAAGAGAAAATAAATCAGTTATTAGAGATGAGTTATTAACACTATTATGATTAGAAACGTGTTCATCTGCTTCACCACTGCATTCCACGTGACAGCATTAGTAAGTGTGTAATGTCAGTATATCTGCCTGAGTTTGCCTGTTTGTTTTATTAATTTGCCCTATTTAAAGGATCACAGAACAAGGTCTCTCTGGTCTTCTGATTGCAGTCTGAGAAGGGCTTGCAGATGATGAAGTGTCCAGATATAAAAGCGTGACCTCGGGGTCAGGGACACACTCTGATTTATTTCCTACCGGCCAGAAAACACACTTTTGATGAAAGTGTAACGAGCAGCAGAGCTTTATTACATGTGTGTGTGTGCGTGTGCGTTTGCGTGTGTGTGTGTCATGCCTGTGTCACCAGCCTGCAAATGCTCAAATAAGGAATAATTGCTTTACTTGCAGGCCGTCTTTGAATTTTATGCTACGAGCCAACAGATATCTGTGTTTTAGAGAGAGATGCTGCTGTTTGTGTCAGGAGGCAGAAAAATAAATATTAAAAGTTTAAAAGTAATTATTAGTGAATATTAAAATTGCCTAAAAAACAAAAAATAAATTTAATTAAATTACATCAGACTTTTATTTTATTTTATTTTATTGATCTTTCAATCTTGTTGAGGGTTCTGGCATTAAGAAAGAGCTGTAAAATCCTGCATTTCTCCATTCAGATTATGCATTTATTTACCAGTTCAAAAGCACATTTATTAGTATTTCTGTATATATTAGTATATTTTTATTTACAGGTTTATTATCCCTATAAACCAATGAGTATAAAAATACATCAAAATAATAAATTTAATATTATTTTTATTTTTATTATTAAATGTTTATTTCTTTTTTTTATTTGTATTGTGCTTATTTTTATTTTATTTTTATTATTTTATAGATTTTTATTTAATTTAAATTAGATTTTATTTTAATTTATTGATCCTTTCAATCCTTTCCAATTCTGGCATTGAGAAAGAGCTGTAAAACCTGCATTTCTACATTCAGATTATGCATTTATTTTATTTTTTAAAAATAACATAGATTTATTAGTATTTATGTACATATATGTACATATTTTTACGTTTATTATCCCTTACATATATAAAATATCAAAAATATTTTTTACTTAATTAATTTTTAATATTTTTATTGTATTTATTTATCTTATTTATATTTTATTTTATTGATTTTTTAAATAATTTTGAACATTCTGGCATTTAGAAAGAGCTGTAAAATCCTGCATTTTTTTAGACTTTGCATTTATTTAACTGTTCAAAAGA